CACCTAGCTTTATGCTACATACCTAGTGAACCCGTTAAACCGTGGTTCTGAACTTTTAGGGTCATGCATTAGTCTCTCCCCACAAGTGTGACAAAAGTCACAGAGCCCCTGCTTCACCTGACCTTAACCTTTCAGCTTACCAAAGACTATGACAAAACAATGGACACTATGAGAAACCACCTCTCATACCCCTCCAACCACCCACGGACGCCGTCTGCACAAACCGACAACCGGTGCCCCAGACAACCTACGTCAACAAGCACATGCTGCGTGTACTAAACAACATTCAGCGTTCTGCACCTGATGCCATCACCGCGCCACAGCTTGTGATGCCACTGTGCAAAAGGGGGGTAATGCCAATGTATGCCGCTGCACGCCGCAGCACCAGAGACACTTGCAAGACACCGAAGCAAGTGGCATACCGGCGTTCTCAAAGCGGAAAGACTGTCCTGGGCAACCAAGGACGAGACTCGCTGAAATTTTTCCTCCCTTTCTCTCTTTCTCTCTCCCTTTCACCTTTACCAGGATGCTGCTGTGCCTCCAGCCAACCAGAGGGCAACCGCAATCGGACATCTCACCAGGTCTGGCACCAGGACTCCTTTTCTGCCGGACCCGCACTCAGAAAGTGAATGTGCCACCTGATCCTCACAACGCCTACAGAACACACTACCCCAGCGTAACAACACAATACAGCTGGGTAGGTGCCGATGGACAAAGGACTCCCGCACTCACGCTGAGACCGTGGTTGAACACATGCTCAAGCAACTTGAGAAAATGACTGTCACGCTAGCGGAGCCAGGTGGCCACAACCACCGCCGCACTGCCGTCAGAACTCTGTTTAACACTTGTATGTCCAGCATGAATGCAGCAAACCTCGCCAACATGGGACAGCATGTAGCCGAAATACAGACTGAGATTCCACAGATAAAAGAGCACTCACAACAGATTACATCCCTGCAGACCATCGACAAGACACTGAAGGGAACTGTGGTAACTTTCAACACTCACAGCGTTGAACCCCATGCACTCCAACACTCACTCCATGAAACAGCTGTTTACTGTCTTCCAGAATGACTTTGCTCAAACTCAGCTGGTAACAGCCCTGATGACAAACCTGCTGCAGGGGGTGAACTCCTCCATCGACAGCCTCGCCGTGGGTAGAATTCCACCGCACCTGATACCCTTAAGCCTCGTGAAAACCGTGCTGGCGTCCGCCATCACCACGCCAACTGACTCTTTACAAATACACCTTTCCTACTCTCTGGGTAGTGCCATCCCTCTCTGCGTCGACTACAAGCAGAGAAGGGGGGGGGGGGGGTTTCTCTTGAACTTGCCCATCATAGAGTCAAGCCGAATCTACCGGCTCAAGAACATTGTCAAGGTCAGATTTTGAAAAGTAACATTCACATCAAGATCCACACGCCGGACGGGGTTGACTGCAACGACAGCAACACAAAGCCGTCCTAAGCTCCGAACCCGTACGTGTGCACATTGACCAAAGAAATTCACTATCTCTGCCCTAACAAGCCTTTCCTCAGAGACAACACTGACGGAATCTGCGGGCTGCAGATCAGCGACACCCGCTGCCCTGCCGAAGCCAAGCCACGCACTCAAGGCATCAAGACCCAAGCAGAGAGTGTAAGTGACAGGCGGCTCGCTAACACTCCTGTGCGCACAGCTGCACTCACTTACGACCAGAATGACACTGACACCTGTGTCACCTCGCTCCACTAGAGCCTGTGAATCCAAGCACCGAAAAGTGCCATCCTTCACCTTGACGACCTGGCATGGTACCATCTTCCATGCAAAGAGTACAAATTAAAACTGGAAATCCCATCCTTCTCCAGGAACCACACTTTCACCCTAACTCCAGAACGGGAGTTGTGGTTTGCGAAAGGGGGGTGATCCCAGCTAATTGACATTGCTCCTATCGACACAGCCCTCCAAGCTTTGTCTCGACTACCCATTCTGACTACCTCACCTGTTGTCCAAGCCTGGACCGCAGCCGACACTGCACTGTGTACCTCTATGGTAGTCAGACACACCCTGACACTGGGCTTGACCTTCATCCTATACAGGAGACTTAACGAGATACAAACATCTTCAGCCAAGCTCACGAAAGGTTTCGGACGAAACCCGCAAAAAGGGGGTGCCAAGTCAGAGACCAGGCCAGAGGCAGCTTCGAACTTCATAGAGCTGAATCCTCAGCCCTAATAACCACCTGCTGCATGAGTCATGATTCACCTGCCATCCGCCCATTGTGATGTGTCGTCCGATGATGTCCACAAAGGGACGTCATCGGACGAAAAGGGGGACTGTAAGGTATGGACTGTCAGTTGACTTCCTCCTTTCCTCAAGCAAGAACGTGTGTACAACACACACACACACTCTCTCTCTCACACACACACAAAGAACGGGGTGTTCTGTTACAAGACTGAGCTTTATTACCCCTTGGAATGTCCCAGAGAGTGGGATTCCTCCTTATTCTTGCTGAGAAGAAGTAACGAACCCGGGTTTAAACCTATATATTCTATGTATATACATATAACCATGTGATACATGCATCTAATGTTCCATCTCATGATTTTCCTTTATGTTGTTTGGTCTGTGTGGCCTTGTAAACTCTAATGTGTTAATGTTGAGACGTGACTTGCATACTATGAGAAACAGAAATCACTCTGTAGCATGTTTAGTCTCGATAAACTCCAACCTTCGTTCCCATTTGTTGATTTACATTACATCTTGCTAACTTTGTGATGCAGGGGTGTTATAAGAAATCTTGAAGGTTCTTTCTCTTAAACACCAAATTAACTGACATATTCAGATGTCCTGCGAGATTCACCCGGACTGTAGCCCGCAAGCTTCAGAGGAATGGCCAGAGTCATAAAATGCTTGAACATTCCATGCCCTCCCCCATCTCTGCAAGAGAGATAACAGAACTCTAACACACACACACACAAACCAACACACACACATAATGGACCTTTACATTACACTCATAAAACGAGCCATTACCAATTGTATACGATATATTCCTGTATGTCTGTGTGTTTCCCAGTCCATGGTAGTCTAGATATGATCTCCTAGCGTATCAGTGAAACTCTTGAGAGTTTATAGTTATGTATTAAGATGTATCTTCGTATTCCAACTATGTGTAAATGTTTTGTTTGGTACCGTTTTAATTATCTCGTTCCAACTGATTTGGTCAGATACAGAAGATTACAGTAAAATGTATGTTTTCTATGTTTTTACCATCTTGTGGAATGATTCTGACAAATTCTGACTGGTCATAAAAGAGGCCGACACGGCCATAGTTTAACTTTGACAAGACAAAGAGAATTTGGCCGCCAAAAGTTTCGTTGAATGTCATTGGCCAGTTCGCACCTCAGAGGTGTGGACTCCAGTTCCTCTAAAGAGGACTGAACCTCCCTCTGGACGCTCTCTTCCTCCCTTGTCCTCGTGTTATAATGTAACGTCTCGCCTCCGGGCGAGCTCTTCGCCTTTCTTTTATTTGTTTCTAGTTTAGTTTGTGTTTTTCAGTTGTAGATAAGTCTCTGTGTTTAATTCCAATCGACGATTGAAAAGAAAACCCCGTGACATATCTCTTCAGCAAATCCATCTACAAGGGACCTTTAAACGAGCGCGCGCTCGCTTTGAAGGAGAAACACGCGCACGTGACCGCGTGACGCGCCGGACCGAGCGACGCACGCGCTTCTTCACCAACCATGCAAAGATGTAACGTTAACTCCGCGTGATTTCCCCGTAGAGATCTTTATTTCTTTTCTTTGTTAGTCAAAGTTTTGTTTTCCGTAGTCGACTCAGTTCACTTCCACGAAGTGAAACGAACTTAGCCGAACTATCTTCCTTTGGTAATGTTACCCAAAGACTCTGAACCTCCGTTCAACACGCGCGCCAAGCAGCACCACGTGACGCTTCTTAAAGGACTCCGCTCACGCACGCGGCCAGACAAGGCCGCGCAGGAATGCCGGACACAGAGAGACCAAAACTTGTGCAAGTATCTCTTTTGAAGCTTCTCAGAAGCATTAAGATTATGTGTTTCGTGTTGTTGCAGAAAGGTGAAAGTCTAGGGAAAAATCGTACCCATGCTGTCTCTCTCTCTCTCTCTCTCTCTCTCTCTCTCTCTCTCTCTCTCTCTCTCTCTTACTCGCTCACGCGTGTAAGTTATCCATTGTCCAAACTTTACGCATTTCTCGTTCATTGATGTCTTATTGTATTGTTCATTGTTGTCTATGTGTTTGTAAATACATATATATCCCGTGTAACCGTAGTAAATACATAAGTAGTCATGCCTCTATTAAATTAAATATATATTCATTTGATTGATGTACTCTCTCTTTGCTCAGTTTCAAGTCCCTTAAGTGCCAAAGATCTTATGCTACAAGCTTACTAAAATTAAATATACCTTAAAAAGTATGTGTTTATAGGGCGGGAAAACCAATTCTTCTGGCCAGAGAATTGCGTTTCCTGAAATCCTATAAAGTAAGATGATATTGTGGATCCCACAAATATTATCCTGACAATTGAGCTAATTCATTTTACCTGTTTGTGAAACATGGTCCGTGTAATTAATTGCAATCAACTTGTGGTTAATTTCAGGGATTCACATGCATGCATGCAGGTAAAATGACAGATCCTCCCTTATCGGGAGATTTATTAACATGTAAGACTGATCTACTCCAAACATGTTTGAATAATTATTAATTACCAATTATTAATTATGATATGCAAATTCCCCACGGATTAGATCCGCCCTTGAATCCTTACACACTGCTTCTCTTTATCTCTCCTCACTGACTCACGAATGTGTATTGGTGACGAAGATCTCTCTTGCAAGAGAATAAATACTTTATAAACTATTAAATTGGACTCAGAGTGTCTCTTACTCAGTGATAATGTTTGTTGGAAAGAAAAAGCCACAACATCATCAACGGACAAATTCACATTGAAACAGGACAGAGGTGATTTCAGATGTTTCTCACGTGAGTTCGGTTAGTTTGGGGCAGTTCTGGCTCATCTGGAGGATCCAAACAGACAACTTCTCAGTTAGACACTTCACGCTCATTTCCATCTTCTCCAGGTTAGAGAAGGAATGGAGAACAGACAGGAATGCTTCTAAATCCCTTTGCTTAATTATCTGAAAAAGTCTGGTCCAGTCGATGTTGAGAACTGGGTGTGAAAAGGTGAGACTGAATGAACCCAAATCCAGATAGTGATCCTGGTGAATCTTTATGTAGACACTATTATAAAAAAAAGAAAAAAAAAAGAAGATTTAAGTTGTTGTTTCTATAAGTCAATTTCTTGCTTAGAATATCTTTTTTGTGATTTCTTTTTAAATTATGATTAATTGGTGGTTTGTTGGGCACCAGACAATATTTGCATCATTAGCAATAGTCAAACAATAACTATTTGATGAAAAGAATTCACTTGTTCTTCACCTGGACGGCTCTTTGATGATTGACAGAGAATGTGAGTGGTAAATGGATACACAAACACTGCAAACCAAAACAATGATCAAATAGAGCATGTGAGCTACCGAATCTTACATAAAAACTGCAAATCAAAGCACAGAAAAAATATACATGAACCTTAAAGTTAAACAAAAGCACATTAAATGATAATAGCATGTGTGCATAAAACACATCAAATGTATAAAATACATTTTATAACATTACCTCTGTGAGCTCAGGGTCTGTCCTCTCGTGACAGTGTTGATCAGTTCACCGAGATCAGAGACTGATGGATCTTCTATAACAAAGCTTCAAAATCAAATACAGAACATCACTGTAGAGACTAATTAAGTTCAACTTGCAATAGCAAATTAGAGATTAGATATAAATTACATCCACCAAATATCTGTTTTAGACCAACGCATTTACCTTGCATCTTTAAACTTGTGAAGTATAGGCAAAATCATAGACAGATATTCCGATTTCAAACTCAAACAATAAAGTTCTTCAAAGCTCTGACAGCACTGACAGCAGTACAGCAGGGCACAGCAGTCTGTTCTACTGAGGGATTTATCAAATAGATTAATATATTTCCAGAATGCCATTGCTTCTTTCACAAAGTCTTCTTCATGAAGTTCATAGAGAGAGTGAAGAAGAATAAATACTAAATTCGAAGACCTGGAAAAACCTTTAACCTTTTCCAAAATCCATTCTTTCAGATGAGCCTGTGTTTTTGGACGAATGAACAGACCGTGTTCTTTAAGTGTGGATCTCACATCCTTATTCAACAAACCAAATGCAAATTGCACCACAGCTTCAAAACGTGTTTCTGAGGAACTATCCATTAAAAGTTTCCCCAGGGACTCTTCTTCATCCAGAAGGACATAGTACAGAGCACAGAAGAACTCCTGAAAGCTGAGATGCATGAAACTGAACATCGTCTCCAGGTCGACTCGTCTCTTAAACAGGAACTTGCACAAGAATGGATTTCCAGCCGGGTCTGAAATGGTTTCATTCACACTATCCTCATCCAGCAGGACTTGCTGTTCCCGCATCCCTCTCTCTGCCAGCTGACCCAGACTCCTCAGCAGGGTCAGGACGGACTGACTCAAACCCTGGCAGTGATGCTTCAGAAGAGTGCACACAAAGTCCACGTAGATGGAGGTGGTGGTTTCCAGTCCGCTTGTCTCATTTTCACCATATTTGAATCGCTCCTGGATAGCTGTGCAGATGATCCAGCAGATGACAGGGATTGAGCAGGCAGTGATGAGGGTTTCATTTGCCTTCACATATGTATAAGCGTCCCTGAAAAGTTCCTCATTTTGAAAAAACTTCTGGAAGTACTCCTTCACCCCCTTCTCTGAAAATCCCACAATCTCAGAGAAACGCTGAGGTCCTTTGAGCAGATCACTGAGTGTGTCTGTAGCTGTAGATCTGGAGGAGACCAGCAGGAAAGACTCTGGCAGGATTCGACCCCTCAGCAGGGCACAAAGAGTGTCCACAGGTCGGGCTTTCTGAAGCAGATCAGTGTGTGCTGACGTGTCATTAATGTCCTGTGGGAGTTTCAGCTCATCAAATCCATCAATGACCACAAGCACCTTCTCTGGCGACTGCTGTAAAATCTGTGAGATCTCATGTGATGTTAAACTACAACTGCAGCTCAAGATCTCCACCAAACTCTTCTCGCCAGGAATGCGATTTATTTCTTTACACTTTAAGTGGAACACAATATCAAACCGCCCTTTGTAGAGGTCACCAGATGCCCAGTCCATCATGATCTTCTGCACAGTGAAAGATTTCCCGTTTCCAGAATTTCCCTGCAGTATCACAGAACTGGGACTGATCCCGTGGTCATCTGGGTCGAACAGAGAGTTGAGATGAGAGTCTCCACTGCTCCTGGAGCTGAGGACCTGCTGGAAGCTCTCTCCACTGGAGCGGATCTCTTCTTCTCGCTCTATTCGATCTCTATGTTTCCGAAGGATCAGAGGTTGTGTGAAGCGCTCAGACAGCAGCACATGTTCACCAGGCAGTGAGTTATACTCAGTCACATACTGATACTCGCTGCAGATCCGCTTCATATATTTGTGAATCACTGGGCTGCTTTCTGTAGAAACAGTCAATGTTCAAAGAGTTAGTTTTTTTTCCTGATTATAATACAGTAAGAAATTCCAGAGCAGACAAATACCAACTCAATTATGAGGTCGATGGAGTGCAATATTTAAAACGTATTATTATAAAATTCATCAGTCACCTGAGGAATGTGTTTTTTCAGAGCGTGTGTGATGTCCTGTGGAGACTGTAGAACATTAGACACACTTGATTAACACATTAATTGATTTATTCATTTATATATTGATTAAGGCATTTCACATATATTTTCAAACATTTTACATCAATCTATCTATCTCACTATCTATCTATCTGTCCGTCCGTCCGTCCATCCATCTATCTGTCTATCTATTATGTATTAGACCACCACCCAATGTAAGGTTTGTGCCACAACTGCCCTAAACTAACAGTATTGGTGATACACATTTTTTGAGATGGGAACAAATATGTACAGACTGCACGTTATTCGAAAACACTAAAAGTACTCATAAAGTCTATCCATAAGTGGAAATTAGTTATTTGTGATTTTTTTTTAGCAATTTTCTACTTCCAGTTTGAAAGGCAAAGACTCTCAGACTCTCAACTGATCCACATCTACCTATAGGAATATGACGCCCATCACTATATTCATATATAAGCTCCTCCAGTATTATCAGCAGCTATCGCGTTTCTCAGGAGCGAATTACCCTCCAACCTCCCCAGCTCCACCTCTCATCAGTCAGGATTTGGCTTTCTGATTCCCCTTTGAGTCAGACTAAATTCTCGAATTATGTTGTACATTAAAATATTGACATTAATGATATCTGCAATTCATTCATGTTGGTTCTGTTCTGTTTACCCTAAAGGGTGTTATTGTTGCTCTCCTTGCTCTTATCCATGCCAGGCGGCCCAGAACAGAACCATACCGCCAATCCAAAATATATGCTAATTGTCAAATTTGACGATAGTGGTCCTGACAGAAATAAGTTAACAGGATGGAAAGTTAAGACAAAATATTTAAGGTTTCTACAAGAGCTTCTGCAATTTGTGCAATGCCTGTTAAAGTACATAATTTAACAGTACATATCTCAGTACATACTATAGGTCTAGACACATGTGGTATAATAGCCAAAATTAGTGTGCTATTACCTAAGTCTCTAAACAGAGATGGCTCATGGATTTCCAGTCTAGAATACAAGGCAGATTTAACCTTGTCTCCTCCAGATTGTAACACTTTATAAAACTCTCTCATTTTCTCCTGGTTAGTATCTGCTGCTCTGATCTTACAGTACGGCTCCCATTCCAGCATGCCACCGGACAGCAGCTCATCCGCTATCGGCATCACCATCTGTACTCTCTGGACAAGTTTCGCCCAGTGTTCGTCCACAAACCGAGCACCTGGTTGAGAGATAATAACATGATAACTGCTCACAAGGAAGAACGTGATTTTATAAGATTCAAGAACGGCATATTCTATAGTGTAGCAAGTACTTAATTGGGCCACTTCACATTTAATCAGTGTAATGCAGTTTTTTTTCATATGACTATCTCTGCTTTTACTGTGGTAACTACTTACGCTCTGAGTCTTGGTCCATAGTGTCTCATAAGTGTCTATGACGTGTTGTAGAGAGCTGTCTTAAGTTGTCCTCTAGGAAATGAAACATAATGCACAATCACATAGTGTGAGATGGTTGAAGAGAGCTTTTGTGACCCATGGTCAAAGATTACACTATTGGTATGCAGTAAATTAAGTGACGTGTGACACGCGAGTCCTGAGAAAATGGCGTTCGTCAGCTCCAGTTTGTATCCAGCCTCTCACGGAGACTTCAGATGCCCCAATCACAAAGCCTGTGAAGTGATGACTCAACACGGGCGATATGGACACAACTCGTCTTAATACCGGTGTGATTACTTGGACTTCCAAAAGATGGAAATGGATAAATACTCTAAATGTTCCGATTCCAATCTGACTTGTAATACTGCCCGAATCATGCACTGTTCCTTCGTTTGGTCAGAGGAGAACTGGCCCCCCGACTGAGTCTGGTTTCTCCCAAGGTTTTTTCTCCATTCTGTCATTTGATGGAGTTTTGGTTCCTTGCCACTGTTGCCTTGGCTTTTGGCTTGCTTAGTTGGGGACATTTAACATTTAATATTCAATAATATTATTTTTGTTATATTGTTATATTGTTTTTGTTATATTGTTTTCATGTTATCACTGTGAAGCGCTTTGATACAATCTGTATTGTAAAAAGCGTTATATAAATAAAGGTGACTTGACTTGACTTGACATGTACAAAAATTAATCTAACATGCAGGCCCGCCCCCCCTAGTGGTGATCTGAATGATTATGTGACTGAGCGTTCGTGCAGGGTTTTTCTAAACACTTATGAATAAGATAACAATAAACGAGAACCATCTGAACTGTTCTTGACTTTACCCCATTTGTACACTGCACACGTCTGCAGCGCATTATGGCTCCGACAAGATTTTATTCCGTCCTCCACGCTGTGCCAACTCACACCAGGAGCATTTCAGAAGCAAAGCTACTGGATGCGTGAGACCATGTGAATTGCCCGTTCGATGTGGTTTTTCTTGATTTTGGGGTTTCTACCTTACAGTCTATGGTTTCTACCAAGGATATATTGGTGTGCAATACAATTGGGAGTCCTTACAGACCTTACTGTCTCGAAAATAGCACCTATCTTTAGTGAAGCGGTGCGGAGAGCTGCTTCTAGGATGCTTCTGAAATGCCGCGTCGCGGTTGGTGTAAACACAAGCATTGACTAGAGTGGGCGTGATGAGCTCCGGTAGCCGTGTCGCAGCCGTAGCGCGCCGCAGACTAGTGTTAACTAGTTTAACACTAAATAATTCTCATTTTTTTCAATATGGGGCACAAGAGAAACAAAGTCGTTTGTCCTGGCGCCAGGACTGCTAACCTGCACAACCCAAATTTGGCCTTTACTGAATATACATTCACAAAACAAAATGGTAGAGGCATAGGAGATTGATTAATTTTCTCTGATAAATAAATGTATCAGTCAACTTCTGCTTTTGACTCAGTATTGTCAAATTTCATATTGTATAGTTCTGTCATTACATGGCATGATAATGGATATGTCACCAGAGTCCAGTGCAGGTTGCAACCCCTGACCAGAGCCCAGTGCAAGCTCCAGCCCCTGATCAGAGTCCAGAACAGGCTCCAGTCCCTGACCAGAGTCCAATGCAGGCTCCATCCCCTGACCAGAGTCCAGTGCAGGCTCCAGTCCCTGACCAGAGTCCAGTGCAGGCTCCAGCCCCTGACCAGAGTCCAGTGCAAGCTCCAGCCAATGACCAGAGTCCAGTGCAAGCTCCAGCCCCTGACCAGAGTCCAGTGCAAACTCCAGCCCCTGATCAGAGTCCAGTGCAGGCTCCAGCCCCTGACCAAAGTCCAGTGCAAGCTCCAGCCCCTGACCAGAGTCCAGTGCAAGCTCCAGCCCCTGATCAGAGTCCAGTGCAAGCTCCAGCCCCTGACCAGAGTCCATTGCAGGCTCCAGCCCCTGACCAGAGTCCAGTGCAAGCTCCAGTCCCTGACCAGAGTCCAGTGCAGGCTCCAGCCCCTGACCAGAGTCCAGTGCTGGCTTCAGCCCCTGACCAGAGTCCAGTGCAGGCTCCAGTCCCTGACCAGAGTCCAGTGCAGGCTCCAGTCCCTGACCAGAGTCCAGTGCAGGCTCCAGTCCTTGACCAGAGTCCAGTGCAGGCTCCAACCCCTGACCAGAGTCCAGTGCAAGCTCCAGCCAATGACCAGAGTCCAGTGCAAGCTCCAGCCCCTGATCAGAGTCCAGTGCAGGCTCCAGCCCCTGACCAGAGTCCAGTGCAGGCTCCAGCCCCTGACCAGAGTCCAGTGCAGGCTCCAGTCCCTGACCAGAGTCCAGTGCAGGCTCCAGCCCCTGACCAGAGTCCAGTGCTGGCTTCAGCCCCTGACCAGAGTCCAGTGCAGGCTCCAGTCCCTGACCAGAGTCCAGTGCCTGACCAGAGTCCATTGCAAGCTCCAGTCCCTGACCAGTGTCCAGTGCAAGCTCCAGTCCCTGATCAGAGTCCAGTGCAAGCTCCAGTCCCTGACCAGAGTCCAGTGCAAGCTCCAGCCCCTGACGAGAGTCCAGTGCAGGCTCCAGCCCCTGACCAGAGCCCAGTGACAGCTCCAGCTCCTGACCAGAGTCCAGTACAGGCTCCAGTCCCTGACCAGAATCCAGAATTACCGGTTTTCTGTCAATATGTTAATATAGGAGCCTAATATGATAATGCTGTAAATACAAATGTGCAAAGGAAGAAGCTTTTAATAAATATTTTTAACGTGCGTGAATAAATCCAAACACCGTGACAGATTTAAGTTTCACTTTCGATCCGTGACCAAAAGAGGAGCGTTTTGGCGGCAGGGATTTAAATCATTAAAAATGTCTGGGAAAAGAAAATCTAAAGTGTGGATGCACACCATCAGAAAGGATATTCTCCAAGGCTGGATTTAGCATCAGGAAAACCATGATCGCACTTCTGCAGGCCAACTTTAACAAATTTGTTTTCCTCAGGACATTCTAAAACGCTTAACGTGAAAAAAGCTTTAAAACGTTTAAAGGGCACTTTTACGTGGCATAGTACATACCTTATTAAGAAACCATACTATGTGCAGATAAGCAGATGAACCCAGAATATGAACGCAACGTGTTCCTCCTATAGAAAGTCACGTAAAGTGTTTTCTTTATAATAACGGTTTTCAATGGGAGGAAATTTAGCATTTAATTAGACGTGTTGCGTTCATATTCTGGGCTCATCTGCTTTTCTGTAGACTATACAGTATGCTTTATTAATAAGGTGTGTACAGAATTTGATCTTTTAATATAACTGTCTTAGGACATTAAGCCGTTAAACGTTTTACAATGTATTTTATCCTAGCACACAATTTGAAAAGACTCAAACGGACACAGAGACACAGACAGAGTGAAAGACTAGTTCCCTTTCGTTCGGAAACTCCTACGTCTCGTCGGACCAATTGCCTTCGATTGAAACTAAAACGAGCCAATGAATATTGGCATGCAAGACTTGCATTCCGTGCCCCGCCAGCCAGTGCGGGTATAAAGCTGAAGCGAGCACACACACATTTGCTTTTTGCTTCGGAGCCGACCGGTTGTGTCCTCTGAGTGGATGGCACAACGAGTCTCTGTTTTCATGAGACCTCTGTGTTGGTGTTACGGCGCTTCAGTGATGTTCGCGAGCTCCCGGGCGCTGGCTGTTACTGCACGCGATCTACATATTTAAACAAAGAGCTGTTGTCACAACTGGTATTCGGTTGAGTGCACACAGCGGGCTTGCAGTTTCCCCGCTGTGTTGCCGCGTTGATCCCTGTGTGCTTCAGCACGATAAAGAGAGTGTTTCTGTAAAAAAGAGCAACATGGGTGAAGACATCCTTTTCAGGATGATGTTTCACCCGTGTGTTTCTGGATGCGATCATTTCCTGTCCTCATTTGACGGCCACTATCACTGTTTCACGTGCCTGGGCTTAAGCATGTTGAGACTGCGTTCGTGGGTGGTTCATGTTCTCTCATGAGAGCGTGACCACGTCGGCACGTTGTTCGTCTCCCCTTTCTCGTAAAGGCTTGAGCCGCTCAGCGTGCCGTCGAGCTGCCGGCTGACAGCGCGGGTTGTCACGGCAACCCAGCGCGCATCATTTGGCACTTTAGATGTGCGGTCAAGACTCAAGTGCCTCAAATGAGTTGGAGTCCCTTTGCCTATTCCCCGATCTTGTTCCTCTTCTGGTGGCCACCAGAAAAGGGCTTCTTTGGCTAATAGCTTTGGTGATCTGAGGATTACAGTGAGCGTTCCCCGACGAGACCCCCTCCTAGGGGTCCCTCACTCCTCTAGCGCATCGCAAACATGCTGAGACTGTATTCGTGGGTGGTTTATGCTCTCTTATGAGAGCATGACCACGTCGGCACTTTGTTCATCTTGCCTTTCTCACGAGGGCTTGGGTGCTCAGCGTGTCGTGTGCCATCAAGGTTGATTGCCACGTTCACTGTCTCGCATGCCTGGCAGCATTCGGGTGGAATTACCGGTCATTCTCGTGAGGGACCAAGTATTTCATTCGGGGCTCCAGGGGAGGATCAGATGTTGATCACTGCATCTGAGAGAGGGCTGTTACACTCTGGAAATGATGATGCTGAGTTCCCACTGTAATGATGTGTGTGCTCATGCTGAATCAGATTCAGACTTGACAGCCACACTTCCCGGGTTACTCTGGGGGCGCAGTGCAACGCATATCGCCTTGCCCCGCCCCCGTGCCTGCCCGGATGAGTGTGAAAAACTTTGGCAGTATGGAAGCATATTGGTGCCAATGTGGAAAGCCAAACATGCCTTTGCTAATGGCAGACCACCTCTTCCCTGCATGTGATGGCCACACTACAAGTCTGTGTAAGGCCAAAACAAACAGTGCATGAGGGTAGTTCTGAGTCGAGGTTTAGCTGTGCATAGTGACTGACCGTGGTTTAAGTCACAGCACTGGCCCTCGGTCAGACGATGTCCACACTGGTGGTCCAGAAGCGTCCCGGGGCTAAAACTTGCAGAGGTGCGAGACATCGCCAAAGTTCGCTTTCTCGATGCTCCCATCTCACAAGGTTTGCTACCGGGTCACTC